TGGTCTATACACTAGGGATATAGTGTGACCATCACAAGCAGGAACTCTATCCAAGGAGCTCTGTTCAGGTGTGCATTATAGGCAACCAGCACACAAACATGATACTTCAGAATGCGATAAGTGCTGAGGGAAACAAAAAGGAAGTAGGATAATACACCCATGGCATAAAAATAGTTGAGGAAGAACTTTTTAAGGTGTTGGCATATGAGTTGTGAGGGAATTGATGAGAAAGACATGCTCATGTACAACTATGGGGTAGAGGGTGGGAGTAGTTAAAAATGCCATCAAACATGGAAGAGTTAGTGACCCAGTCTCCATAGGAAGGATGGGGTGAAACCTTTATGCAAATGATGAGAGTGAAGTTGGAGTTTGAACTATGAGAGGAAGATGGAAGAGACAGGAGGGCAGGGCAGAGAGCAGGAGTATGTTCAGGGAAGGGCTCCAAACTGGATCACCATGGAAGTCAACTTTTTCTCCATATTTCAACATGTGGTATTGAGCAAAAAGGGAAGTAGTACAACTGCTCAACTGTTATTAGGATGCCAAATGGCCCCTGCAGCTGGATCATGAGGTGGGCAGTAGAGATTGACAGTTGGCATATCAAGAAAAGAATTTAAGCTCTAGATCATGCTTGACCTTATATACAGTGTTTAATATGTTCGGCATTATTTTGAGGCAGGTGAAGAACCACTGACTTTTGAGTAAAGGATATATGAATATTGATGGTTTTGAAGGAATGTGTATCAGTTTAGTAAAAACTAGAACTTTCAGTACCTTGGCTTGTAAGGTCATGCAATTTCAAGAACTCTAGTCTATGGGAATGTCACTGGAAGCCTCAACTCTATCTGTCCTGAGCCCCAGCACTAGCTTCCTGCTTACCTTGATCCTGTGTACCAGAGGAGCGAACAGAAACACAAAGAGCTCTACGGTGGCCATGGAGTTCTGGAAGATTTTCCTTCTGCTGTTCTCTTCTTCATCATTAGAGCCACTTTGGCAGGGCTGCCCCGGGGAACCCTGGTTTTCAATCTGGTGGATGAATGCACTGCTACTGCCACCCCAGCTGGACCCTCGGTCTGTGCCCCCAAACCGCTCACTGTTGCAGTCTTGGGGGGCCTCCAGGAGCATCCAATGCAAGGTGTGCAGGAGTTTTGTCTCAGCAACACCCAGTTTATCCTGATGGCCTGCACAGAAAAACCACAAAGCCAGGTAAAGGCAAACTCTGAGATGAACAATGGATTTCAACTTTTGATCTGGCAAAAACTTTGCTCTGTGCCCCAATTCCCCAGAAGACACTAATATTTCCCTATAGTACTAGCAACAACTGCTGGCAAGGCTCATTCTTGCTTTTTTGGGGGGAGGCGGGGGCTTTCTTTTGGCTGTAATCCTTACAGTATAATCTATGAGAATCAGATCCCAGATATGCCACTAAATAGGCAGCATGGTGCAAAAGTATGGGGTCTGAAGATAATGAGTATTCTATTTTGGACAACAGAGTCTGAAAGGGCCCTTTATAAAGGTAGCATTTGAGCAGAGAACTTCATGACAGGAGCAGAAGAAACAGAGAAGACTGCATCTTCTAATGTGAGGTAGATGGCTAGGCACATTTCCAGTGATTAAAAACAATTTGCAAAATAATCTTTATGTATGTGCAAACATACACATACACACACATGCACACTCACTTACTCACAACATTACACAGCTGGGGAAATATCTGCAGTGAATATGCCAAAGAGAAAATCCTTGGCTTTGGCTTACCTGTAAGACTTTAGTGTCTAAGAAATATTCAAGTATTGCTAGTTAAGAAATAAAAAGCAAGACAACCAGTTCCCCCTTTGGTATGGTGGAAATTATGATAGCAGTAAGGCAAGGGCAACTGTGAGAGCTGAATGACGCCGTGTGTGCATGGTGCCTGGGACCACTGTGAATTCCCACTGCATGCTGTTCTCAGGCGTGTTTGATATAAAGGGCAATGGTGCTATAAACAGGCAATGCAGGAGCACCAACCTAGCTTGTTCCTGTTCGACAGGAGGGTTGCCGTGCAGTGGAGAACATGCGGCAGAGCTGCTTGCACCAGTTCCCATCTGGAAATGCTCTGGATGGCTTCGGATAGGGCAGGAGAAAGGCCGTGCAATTTGTTTTCTACAAGCACTCGTTCAAAGGACTGTAGGTTAAAAAAAAAGGCACGTGAAAAAGGGACTGGACATTCTGATTGGTAAAAACTGTACATCGAGGTCCCATAGACGATTCAAATCACTAGGTCAAATTCTTTAAGACGCACTCACATTGCGCGCCATGTGTATGTTGGCCTTTAGTGGGTCACTTATAATTTCTTTTTGTTGTTCATTTGCAGGCCTCTGATCCAAAATGTATGACTTGAATTACTAAGCAATCCTATTTCTGTCAAAATAAGCTTGCTCTAACAAAGACTCTAAGCACTATACTCCCATGAGATGTTTTTTAATATAATATTTGTAGAACATTGAGTCATCCAAAGGGGCTGTCACAATTGCAGACCAAAATGAAATGTGATCCACAAAACTGTCTTAAGGGAGGGAATTTATGTCAGTATGTTCAGCATATATTAACTAAGACAGGACTCTCAAGAAATCTGATTTTGAAGTTCTTGATTTATTCCATGTCTCAAGCCTTGATCCGACACACAACACTCCTTAACCTAATGTCTGGAAAAATTAGAGCACACTTACTACTTACTATTTGTTGAGTACAGAAAGAGAAAGGGAGAGAAAAAAAGAAGGGAATAAGGAGACTTGCTGCCTGCTAAATCTCCTTGCTCTGCCAAGGGTGCTTTTTCTGAGACTAAAGCACCCTAGAACAAAAATGAGTTGGTCCTACTCAAATTTTTTTAAGGGTGGAAAAGAATGTCATTACATGGTACTGAAGAAAGGAAAACTATGAAATATTAGAATAGTAGGAACGTGGTTGGCACTGATGTACCAAATCATCAAGGAAATTGCAAAATTATCTTCCCGAAAGATCAAAATACTACAAGTCTTAATTGTTCTCATGGTATTACCAAATGTTTGTTTTGTGCTACTAGGCTATTTATGAAACAGACACGGTTTATTATTATTATTCAATGAAAATTATTTACCTTTTTACTCAAAAAGTTCACCTTTATTTAATTTAATTTTTTTGTGGTACCAGGAACTGAACTTAGAACCACATGCTTGTCAGGCAGGCCCTTAAGTCGCGGAGCTATCTCCCCAACCTAGTTCACCTTTATAAAGTCAAGGTACGCTGAAGTTTTGGTGAGGAATACACTCAGATGTAATCTTTCTTTTTTCTTTTAAGAAATTAAATAGAAGCCTTTAGATATGCTGGTAAAATTTAAATGTATTTAAATTCCTCAGTGCTTATATATCTAAGTGTCATTAAATAAAGGGTGACCAAAAGATTAGAAAGAATTTATACAACCTAATGGATACAGTGAAGAGGATCAGTTCTGTACTTCATACTCTCAAGGAGTTTTGGGAAGTTGATATAATTTTCTTCTCAAATGTTACTAATGTTTCTTTTTCATGATTTTTACATACTGGAAATTGTTTTCTATACTGATATCTGCATACCTTTATCCATATCTATCTACCTAACACAAATATAATTTAACAACTTCATATTTTTTGACTACATTAAAATATTAGCTGGGTGTGGTGGCACTTGCCTGTAATCCCTGCACTCAGGAGGCTGACAGGAGGATCCCTGTGAGTTAGAGATCAGCCTGGGCTACAAAGTGAGCTCAAGGCCAGCCTGAGCTGCATAGTGAGACCTTGTCTCAAAAAGGCAAAATAATAATAATAATAATAATAATAATAATAATAATAAATCAGACATAATAAAGTCATGGATGATTTTTAATTCCACTAACAGGTCCTTACAAGAAATTTATATTTTAAAAATATCTCTGTGATGTTAAAAGATAGAAGACTCAAAACAAATTCCTATTGAGTGTATGTGTGTGCGCGTGTGTGCACGCTCATTTAACTCTCCAGTTGGCTTCCATTGCAACTTAAGACTCTAACCAAAAAGATGTAAATAGGTAGGTTTCTGCTTTTACATTATACCACATACAATGAAAAGACATTTGTGAAAGGTCCAAATTTTGATGCAGTCTGTTAAAGTTCAATTTTTCTTCATGATTTCATCTTATTATCTCAGTAAAATAGGAATCTTCAATGCTGTGGGATTCATTTAGACTCTCACACACATTATTCATTTCACATTGTTTATTTTGTATACACATTAATAAAATTGTTCCCTCAGTTATTTTATATCATTCATTTTCTGATTTGAAAACCACATGCAAAATCTGAACTTCCAGATGTCTATTATTGGTATGCTTATAGGTACTCCTCCTATGAATGTGCACTATATAATGGCCTCAGTTTTGTTGATTCACGGTTTGACTTTCCACCTTTGCCCTGAAAGGTCTTCTACCACCTGACTCAGTTATCACTGTGCCCTCCCTTCTACTGTTCAATCCCTTCCCACCTTTCATTCATTTCCCACTGGGGGCATAGGTCCTTTAACCTACAGTTCTCTCTGCAATCTCAATGCCAAGGTATTCCCAGTTCTCTGTCTTTCCTCTTGCCCAAGCATGACTTCAGGAACTAAGCTTTATCCACCCCCTGCTTAATAATTAAAACCCCTATCATAGTGATTCCTAACATTTATTGCTTAATTTTTCTACATAGTGCTTATCACCATCTGGTTCACTTTGTACTTTACTTACCTATTTGTCTGTGGCCTGTGTGCCTCTTACTAGACTGTAACACCAAGTTTGTATCTTCTTGGCTCTATTCCAGGAGTATAGTTGTGCACTGCACATGGTAGGTGCTCGATAATATTGGCCGAGTGGATTAATAATGTACAGTCAGTATGATTTAGTCTTTCTTTGGATTCAAATTACAACACAGACTATGAAAATGATCATTAAATGGTAAAAATCACATACCACACAAGAAGCTTCATATTGCTTCCCCAATTTAGGCCTCAAAAAAGCACTGAAAAATTAATAAGAAATATTTGTTACAAACACGAGTAAATTTCCTTTTAAAGCACCCTCATGACATGAAAAAGACATGATGCTATGCAGCTCAAATTTTAAGCTTCCTTATAGCTTGTTAATGACAAGGTGCTGAACACCTGACGATGTTTGCTTTTACATATGTAATTACATATATTAAAAAAAGATAATTTTCCATATCCACTGTTATTCTGAAGACTTTTACCTAGCCCAATTCTAAACCACCAATGGTCAGAAGTGGTGCATCACTCATGTGTAGGGCCATAAGAAAAACTGAACAGAAACCGTGCTGGGAATCGTGATTTCCACAATCTAATGTCTTATCTGATATATATCTAATAATAATAATAGTAACAATAATAATAAATTTTGTTCACTGTTTATTACAATAGGTTTCAGACTTGTCTGGGAGAACAAATCCCTTATCAAACATCTTCCTCAGGAGCTTTAGCCAGAGAGATTATGCTAGTTGAATCTGAGCAAAAATGGTTAACAAGTGGGCACTGCAGATATCCGCCAAACAGGAGCTGGAAAAACAACAGGTCACCGGGCTGGAATTACAGCAGGAGCGGAGAGGGAATCGGACGCAGGAGCCCAACCAGTCATAATTATCTTCCCTGGCTCCCTGCCCCCTCCTTCAGCCGCTCTGCCCTCCCCCACAACCCTCAGAAAAATGTACATATTCATTCCCAAACTGCCAATCTGCTTGTCCTCAAACTTCACCAAAATATTTTAAATGCGCGTTTTCAAGCGGACGTGGAGGGTTGTTTTTCCAGGCGCAGAGGGGAGCTCCAGGCTGCGGCGCGGCCTCGCCGGCAACCCCAGAGCGCCCGGCCCGGGCGGCGCGCGCGCCCTCTGCGCCCCTCACCTGGTCTGGCGCCACAGGAAGGTCTGGATGGGCAGGGGGACGCCGCGGCCGCCGTCCTGCTCCTGGCCCTCGGAGCTTTTTCTCTTCACCATGATGGTGGCTCCGGGGAGTCCTCCCGCAGGACCCAGCGCGGGCTCTTCGCCGGCCGCTGCCGCCTCCTCCCGCCGCCCGCCCCAGCTCTCATGCGCTCCTTCTCCGAGGCAGAGCCGGCTCTCTCCGCCCCGCTCCCCCGTCTCGCTCCCCTTCCCCGAGCCCGCCCCGCGCGTGGAACATGGCTGCGCGGGCAGGGGAGGGCTGCGGGCGCTGCGCGGCGGGCAGGGGCGCGCTCCAAGGAGCTCAACGCCGCGCCCCCGCGCGCGCTCCGCGCTTTCAGCACCACCTACTGTGGACAGCGGCCCGCATCGGTCCCGGACCCAGAGGCGGCGTGGGGGCGCTGTGGCCCGCAGGGGCCACGCTCTGCGTGGTGCGCGCGCGGCCTCTGCGGACCCGGCACCTGGCGTCCTCCGCGGTCAGCTGCACCCCGAGGGTGTCCCCTGTCCTGCTTCCCAAGCTCTGCATCGAAGAGCTGTCACCGTCCGGGGAGGAGGAGCTTGGGAGAGCCGCAGAGCGGTCCCTACCCTGGCATCGTTCGCACCCCTAGCAAGGAGGTCAAAAGTCCACCCTCAGGGTAGCTGGAGGAGCGCAGGAGGGTCATGAACGGTGCAAATCGGGAAGCGACGCAGCTTGGCAAGTGAGAGGAAGTTTCAAAGTCCTCGGACATGAGAATTTGTTTTAAAAGTGGTAACCACAAGAAGTTAACCTTGCTTGTATTGCCAAAGCAGGACCTGGAAGAGCCAAGACTATCCAACTGTGGGTATCAGTTAATTACAAGCTGAGGAAGAACGTTTGAATGATGCCGTGGGGAAATGTGGTTTGCAACAGTCCATTAAATGCACTTAGGTGATCCTATTCACTTCAGTGATCTCTGCCACTTGCCTTTGGTTGTAATAATCAAATACCTATATAGTTTATAGTTAAATTTCGTTGACATGCATTGCCTAGCAATAAAACAAGGAGGGGTAAGATGAGGTGAGGTGGGGTGATGCTGTCTGATTAGAAAACCAAAGTGGTGGATCCATCTACAATCAATCAAAACAAATATAGTCCTGCACCTTTTAAACAGGTACTGGTGTAACCAAGAAAATGAAGTATCAGACCCCACGCTTTTATCTTAAAGGGTTGAAAACAATATCCCAGGCACAATTTACAACACGTGAGTCTCATCCAGATAAATAAAAAAGTATGTGGTCTATATCCATATCCATACTTTTCATTCTCTTGAATTCATATTTTAATATGAAAATTTAAAATGGATCTTGAAACAAAAAAGATAGAGTTTAAATACAACCTTCAATGCATATTTATGAAATGCATTTTATGTACCAGGCACTTGCTGTACTGACTTCTGCTCATAAGGAACTCATAATACTGAAGGGAATGCAGACACATGAAGAAGAGAATTCTATGGGAAAGGCGAACACATGCTCAGTAAGGAGCAAAAGAACAAGACAGAAAACATAGGAAGGGATCAAATTTTTAAAAGGCTTAGACAAAAAATGAGCTACTATGTTGGGATAAGAAGCTGCTAACCACTGTGATTTCATGTGAATGTGATTCCTATGACAAGAATAAAGAGGTTGTTTAAAACAGGCAAAAGCTATAGATAGGAACACTACTTTGGAGACTAGAGAAATATTCTATGAGATCCTGAATCAAGGTCAATATTGCAGAATACAAATAAGGATGTGAGTTTGCATGATGTTGCAGAAGTCAAGTTGGGAACACTTGACAACCAAGTGGGCATGGGGAGACCAAGGTACAAGAATGCTAAGTTCTAGCCCAGCGTGGATATTTTTTTCCAGCATAGGAAATTTAAGGTAGTAACTTAGGAAGACCATGCCCCCGAGTTTTTTAAAAATCATAATCAAAAGAAGGAAGGAAGGAGGGCTGGAGGTAAGACCATGGAAGTAGATAAAATCCAGGCAAATACAGAGAAGAATAGAAGAAAACGTCCAGCTTGGGTGTATGGGGGACGTCCAGCTTGGGTGTATGGGGGACATCAGCTTAGACTATTGTCCAAAAAGCTGTTGTCAAGAAGTCACAGCATAAGACAGGATAGTGAGGTGTGTAGAATTCTAAAATGACCTCCAATAGGCCCACTCGCTTGGGGTAGACACACACACAGACACACACATACACACACACCCCACAACTGCCACCACCACACACCCCTCCTAGTTATCCAAAAGATCTTCCTCTGGGTGCTGCTATGAAGTGACTTATAAATCTTCTCAAATTAAAATGTAATATATTGTATTTCTTAGGGAAGTTTCAGGTTTACAGGGAAAATGAACAGATGAAATGGCATCCCCATATAATACCTGTCCTCTATCCTGCCCACAATTTCTCCTATGATCCCTTTTCACTGATATGGTATATTTGTTATTGATGAAACAATATGATACATTATTAACTGCAGTTAGGGTTCATTGTGTTTTATGATTCTGTAGGTTTTGCCAAATAATGTCATGTATTGATCAGTATGGTATCCTGCAGAATAATTTCATTGCCCTGAAAATTCACAGCCACAATCCTCTTTTCCTTTCTTCTCCTGCCCCTGGCAACCACTGATCTTCCACTGTCTCAAGTGTTTGCCTCTTCCAGAATATCCTATGTTTAGTATCATTCAATATATAGTTTTTCAGATAGGCTTTTTCACTTAGCAATTCCTATTTCACTTTTCTTCATACTTTTGGTAGCTCAATAGCTCATTTCTTTTTAATTCTGAGTTGATGTTTCACTGTATGGGACATATCACTTTTGGCTTATCTACTCACCTACTTTGGAATCACATCTTGATTGCTTCCACTTTTTGACAACTATGAATAAAGCCACTACAGATGTTCATATGCAAGATCTCTGTGTGGATATAAAAATTCAGTTTATTTGGTTAAGACTGATTTCTGGACTATATGATAAGACTATGATTAGTTTTGTAAGAAATTGTCAAGCTGACTTCCCAAATGGGAAATTAAATAAAGATGTCACACTTACAGGCAAGAACTTAAGAGTCATTAAAGAAAAAAACCTAAACATATTTAGAAGGGAGATAATTAATGAACAAGATTCTTAACATTTTCCTTTTAGAAAAAAGTGCAGCTTGTTTAATGTTCATTTAATTTTTCATAAACACACTCATTAGGACTGAAGGAAATCTGACTCTTCTCAAGGTGAAAATAAATTATAAAAAATGCCCTTAGAGTGATGTTGTTTGTTTCCAAAGACTATTGATATGTGAGAACAATGTTAAAATAACAATAAAAGTGAGATACTTTGGAGGGAAATTTATGGATAAGGATAGAACTGTAATCCTCAGATTATCTTGGGTAAAAACTATAGCTGCAAGTATGGTTGGAGAGTATCCTTGGGACAAACGAGAGGGCACACACTCCTGGTGAACAGTTGGATTGATCGTCTTTGGATGGAGAAATAATTCTCCATGGTGGGAGAATTTAAATATGGTGGGAAATTTAAAAAGAACAGTAAAGGCCAAGTTAACAGGCAAACAGAATATATGAGAATTTGTCCTTGTTGAGATATATGAGCTGTGAAGGAATTTGGAAGGTCATTGTCTAAAAATGATATTTGATAGGGAAGGAGTAAAGCATTTGCTAGAACATTAATGGTAGGGAGAGCATATTTAATGCTTTTTATGCGTAAAGCTCTGTTTTAAATATATCAGTCAGCTGAGAGAAAAATCTACATTTAATAGGAAGAAAGCTGAGATAAAGAAAAGTTATATAACTTACTCAAGGTTACACAATACATGATGGGGTAAATAGGGAAGTTGGAATCTAAAGTTCTGTCCCAACTGTATTACAGTGCTCACCATTATGCAGTTCTGAGAGTTGGAAGTGCTATGAGTCAGGCAAATGGAAGCTGCTCAAGGCCATAGAAAGGGATTGTGCTGTTAATAACAGGGGTGGAAAAAGAGCTAATGTCCCTTTCCATTCCTGAGCACCCTTGAGGCAATGAGTCAGCTGAGGGTGGAAGAAATCTATAATAAGAACTGTCAAGATCAGTTTTCAAAATAACATTTTAAGGAAGAATCAATACTGCCATTATGGTTCACTCTCTCCTCATACACTCACCACAATTCCCAACCTTTTATTTTAGCCTTTGGAAAGAAACTTCCCCTTCTAAATGTTTTATCTACACTGCCTTCTTTTATACATTTCAATTTAAGTGAACACCACTGGAATAAAATCAAGAACCAGTTCATCTAGTGAGTTGCACAACTCTAGCCAATAAGCCAGCTTCATCTGAGTCACTGCGTGTTGCTGTCCTCTCACTGTGCAGAGATGGCGTCGGATGTGGAGCTTTCCCAGAGATGGCACCCGGTGATGGGCTAGCACTAGGCCAGGAGAGAAAACAGGTCACTAAATCTTCAGAAACCTGTGAAAGTAAACCACAAGATCCAGACTGATGTAGCTAAATGAAAATTACCCTGAAAGTTATTTTCTCTGTCTAATGGAAGTGTCTATTTCGATAGTGGCCAGATGCCAAGTTACCAGATGTGTAGAAAAATAAACATGTTTAGTAGATAAGGTGAGCAGAGGGGAAGGCGAGCAGAGGAGAACTCTGGCTGAGTTTTACACAAGATTGCTGCAGTAAGCAGAATCTGGACTGCTGTATAAGTGTGTGAGAGCCAGCACTAATATGAGCACTCATAGTAATTAATAAAAACAGTTTTGGAAAAGAGCCCTCCATTACTCAGTGGCAATCCATTAAGTTGAAGGTGAAGTGTGACCGCCATGTCATGTGTCTATCAGTTAGAAGTGGATGATAATTGCATCAAAGCTGCGGTATTGGAGATGGAAGGGAAAGATCATCCCCACAATGTGAAGTGGATCTGCCCCAAGTGTCTTAATCATCCTTACCCCAAATAATTGATCTGTCTACTGCCTCCAAGTGGTCAGAACAAAGGCCAAAATCTATACTCTACACTTAGGTAAGCTCCCTATTGCAGTTTGCCAGCGTCCCAAGATCTGACTTCATTTCATGTGGTGCTTCCTGGAGCAGTTTTTTCTAGATAGCTTAGCCTTCTGAGAATGTTGCATTGT